TTGTGATTCCTTCTACAAACTTCACTATGCGGATTGCAATCTAAAACCCACATGATGCTTAGCTTAGCTCAACATAAATTGCAATCTAAGATATCTAAAAGACAAATTCCATCAGGAAAGTTACTTTTGCCCTCATTCAAAGTCTGTTCGCACTGTCCATGCGCTCACTAATTTTGACTCTTTTCTTCTCTCTCGTTAGACCAAATACCCAATGCGATAAATTTACAAAATCCATACATACTCTAGTTTATCTAGATAAATTGGTTCACATCTTATCAGATTTCTTACCCTTTTGATAAGCTTCATTTCTAACTATACCTTGCATCTGAAAATTTACCATTTAATCTGTTATATTAGGATTTTGCTATAGCCAAAATCCTGAAGATTTCCAGCATAATTTTAGTCAGAATACAATTAAATATTCGTCCATAACATAATTACTGTCACTACTAATTTCTAAAATATTAAAACAAAAGGACAAAGGAAACAGGAAGGCCAACCAAAAGCAGTACTAGTACATTTGCAGTGGTATCATAATGTAGTTTATAAAGCAATAATTTTGTGGTGATGGTTTAATTGATTTGTGCAGATGCCAGGGCATAACTCAGACCAGGATTAGCATTAAAAAAAAAAAGTTTGTATTTATCAGAGTAATGCAGATAAAAATACCCATTTTAAGTTACTATTAATTGCATAATCATGATTATCATGAATAACCTCAAATTATTGAGAAAGTTCAAGTTTCAATAATCCCCACAAATCTCTGAGGTTTTAGATTTTAATGGCAGGAAAATCATGGGGAAGCTATTTAAGTAGTTTATAATTTAGCATAAATTATTGAGGTTTTTTTTTTTCCCGGAAAATTATCCTTAAATAAAGGGGTATGAATCTAGAGGTCCCAATTCCCAAGGCTTTCCCAACCAATCAAACTCTTACCTCTCTGATAAAAATTAGACAAGCTGATTTTTACAAGCACTATCTTTCTTGATCACCCATTTTTTCTCAAGAAAAAAAAAAAGAGAAACAACAGCAAAAAATCCTAACCCTCCCTAAATTTAACCAAGTCAATAGAATTGCATCAACCCATTTCATTAAATACAGTGGTTTGACCCTTCTTGATGTCCATCACCCAATTCCAAAATCCAACTCTCTCTTTCTCTTTATCTCTCATATCCCAAGGTTCACTATGTTTTTTAAAGCAAAAACCAAATCTTGATCTCTCCTCCCTTCTTACTTAGGGGCATTGAAAGAGTTATAAACGCAAAAGGAGAAACCAACAACAAACAACCCATCTCTTCAAGAAACCAGAAGATTCCCTTTTTCGCACAAGAAAATGCAAAAGAGGTAGCAAAGGAGAAAACTTCAGCACCACCCTGAAAAACCCAGAAAAAAAAAAAAGAGAGGAAGAACTTCCCAGTCCGGCACCACCACCACCACCACCACCGTCAAAAGCTGAACAAATCCCCAAATCGCGAATACCCGTTTCTCCAAAACCCTAACCCCGAGAGTGAAAAAAGAAGAAGCAAAATTCTGGGCCTTCCAATAACACGTCAAAAAATGTCAAAGCAAATGTCTCATCTTGACAACATCCCATCAACGCCAGGGAAATTCAAGATGGAAAAATCACCGTACGCCCACAATAGACTGAGGTGGCACTCCTCTCTTGCAAAGCTCACATTTTGGTCCTTTATCTTCTTGGGCCTGATCTTGATCTTCTTCTTTCGATCGCCTTCCTCCAATCCCCTTCCTCAAGATCCTTCGCGTCGCTCTCTCCGCACCTACAACTGGGGTGGACCCGCTTGGGAAAAACGGGTCCGTTCCTCCGCCCGTGTCCGTTCCCGTAACGGCATCTCCGTTTTGGTTACTGGAGCTGCCGGTTTCGTCGGTACCCACGTGTCGGCTGCTTTGAAGAGGCGTGGAGATGGTGTTCTCGGACTTGATAATTTCAATGACTATTATGACCCTTCGTTGAAACGGGCTCGGCAAGCGCTTTTGGAACGAACTGGAGTTTTCATTGTGGAAGGAGATATCAATGATTCGGCTCTTTTAAGGAAACTCTTTGAAGTTGTTGCATTTACCCACGTGATGCATTTGGCTGCTCAAGCTGGTGTCAGGTATGCTATGGAAAATCCTGGTTCTTATGTGCATAGCAATATTGCTGGTCTTGTTAGTTTACTTGAAGTCTGTAAGTCTGCTAATCCGCAGCCTGCAATTGTGTGGGCTTCTTCGAGTTCCGTTTATGGGCTTAATACCAAAGTTCCTTTTTCTGAGAGAGATAGGACTGATCAACCTGCTAGTTTATATGCTGCAACTAAGAAAGCTGGTGAAGAGATTGCACATACTTATAATCATATATACGGACTTTCTTTAACTGGTCTGAGGTTTTTCACAGTTTATGGCCCATGGGGAAGGCCGGATATGGCATATTTCTTTTTCACTAGGGATATTTTGAAGGGGAAATCGATACCAATATTTGAGGCAGCTAATCATGGTACGGTGGCTAGGGATTTTACCTACATTGATGATATTGTGAAAGGATGTTTGGCAGCATTGGATACTGCTGAGAAGAGTACTGGCAGTGGAGGGAAGAAGAAGGGTCCGGCTCAATTGAGGGTATATAATTTGGGGAATACTTCACCTGTGCCAGTTTCGGATCTTGTAAGTATCTTGGAGAGGCTTTTGAAGGTTAATGCAAAGAGGAATATTATGAAGTTGCCACGAAATGGGGATGTTCAGTTTACTCATGCCAATATTAGCTTGGCTCAGAGGGAGCTTGGATATAAGCCTACAACTGATCTGCAGACTGGATTGAAGAAATTTGTCAGGTGGTATCTCAGTTACTATTCTGGTGGGAAGAAGGCTACTGGATAATTCATTCTTTGTATGTGGTAGGATCCTCCGAATTCTTTCATTACGATTCTTATCATTGTTTTTAACATTTCTCTGTTCATTGCCCAATTATCGTTATTTCATATATCTTTAATGATGCCATATAAGGGGGGATATCATGTCCTACGATGAAGAAGTTTTGTGATCAGTGGACATTGTTTGCTGGGCAGGCACTTCCTGTATCAAAAGAACATCGGAACAATCTTTTTTAATTTTTCCTCTTTCTTTCCCATGGAATGTAATTGTTGTAGTTTTGGCATTGTAGAATTCATGACTGATAGAGCATATGCTGATTGGTGGACATGTATCATTGCTATGCAATTTCAATAAAATAGCACACGACAATATGTTCTTTCTTTCTTTTGTGGATAAATTGGGTCACAATTCACATTTTGAAATTTGACTTTTATTTTAATGTTTTCTGAATAATCCACCCCCCCTCCCGAAAAGAAGAAAGAAAGAAAAAAGATGCTCTTTTGCTTTTAAAATAGTAATTTTTCTTGAATTTGACCACTAAAAGCGAATGGTCCACTTCTCTTTTCTTTCATGTTGGAGTGAATGCTAGATCTTTGCTCATTTATTGAGGTATTATGCATTTTTCCTTCTCTAGTGTAGTGGTATTATTGCTCCTTTCCTTCTTTGAACTAGGTATTAATGAATATGATATATGAGTTATGTTTATATGAGTCATTGTTTAAGAGTTGACAAAACATGACTGTTTAAGGTTTGAATAAATTGTCTGGGATACCGAACTTTAGGAATGTTTATTCTGTCATTACCTGTTTTATGATTTTTGGAACTTCATACACCCTTAATTAGGACGATACAGTGTGGTCCATGAGCCAAGAATCATTCAGGTTAGCAAGTAGTGGAACACTTAGCAATCCAAGACAAGTTTTATTACTTGATAAACTGGTCCTTGAACAACTAAAAGATCATTGTCAATAGAAAAGCATCTGTTTGATGTATTTGACTTTCAATTGTCCATTTTCATTTATATTCCTTACATGAAAATTGAAGGCTTTAGAAGTCTTCAAGGATTGAAAACCTCATGCTGTATGATGTTAACATAAATAAGATTTATGTAGCCAAAATAAAGTTATGTGGATTGTTCACTAATGGAATTTATGAAATACTTGGTCAGGTTATCTAGGTGCTTGTACTGTATCTTGTGTGTTTGATTTCGATTTGCCATGGTCGACTTGGTCCACTTCAAGTATGATAAATGTTTTTAGAGTTCCAGTAGCACTGAGAGTTTATTAGGGGTTCTTTCATTGAACAATGAACTTGAAGGCGATAAACTAGAGGTTCATGAAAAACTTAAATTGGGTGTTTTGGGGGTTATCCTTTATTATAGCAGGCAACTGGCTATTAATCAGTATTTTGGATTGTTCTGCCTTCACCTCCACTAGTTAACGAGATGAGAGCGTTGATGTTCTCCTATGGTCCCTCTTGTGAATGGTTTTTGTTAGATCAACTCTTAAATTACAATAATGCTTTTGCCTGTAGTGCCAAGAGTTTCTCATGTGCTGAACTAAGGCTTACCATGCCTCGACTTTTTATCTATTGAGTTAGCTCGCTTGGCTCTTGCTCAAAATAATGATGCTCGATAAGACATCTTCGTATGTATCTTAGCAACCTAATTTGTCTTGAATCTTTTGCTATTCACTGTTGCTGTTTTATCCTTTTGAGACTTGTGCAGTTGTGCTGTTCTGGGCTGGAAAGAGTTTATTCTCTAAAACCTATTCCACTTTCACTACATTTTCACTTTTTGAAATGGCAAGAATCTTTGATTGAACAAAGAACAAACAACAAAGGGTGCATGGTGTTGTACCCTTTTACCTAGTAGTCTTTAGAAGTGGTGTGGCCAAGCTTTGTCTCCTTTTTAAAACCATAATTAAATCCCATACTAAATCTCAACAATTTTTTTTCTCAGGAAAATCCTGTTATTTTGCCTATATTACTACACTTAATTAATGCTCCCCCAACCCTATGGGCCATGGGTTGGCCGAAAACAAAGAAAACCGTATGAGACATGGAATTAATCACCTTTTAAGTGCATAATAATTGCAAGATGAAAAACATTGATCTTGATCAGACAGAGAGGCAAGAAAATTGCACTTGGATATCTTATTGAACCAAAACTACAAGTTGTACTATATTTATTTACTCAAATGAAGTGGGACAGTTTGCAAAGTTTACAAAGTCAGTCCCAAATTCCAGCCTACGTTTCCAGGTTTCAACCCCAAGAAAAGGAAACTTAAGGAAGAGGTTGTAAACGAATGTTACATCAAAGGAATTGAAACCTGTCAATATAGTCTTCTGTATAGATCTCGAGTTTCTCTGCTAGCTCTTTTTGAAATGCATTCAGGAATATCAGATTCGACCAAAAACTGGGGAATGATACCCCACTGATTAACAATTTCGGGTGCCATTTAAGTGGATAATCTTGTATGCCACAGAAAGAAGTTTTCCACCCACTTCCTTCAGGTGAATTTAGAAGTTTTTTCAATGTGTCATAAGATGCAGTAGCTATGCAGAACCAAATGAAATTACTCAAAAGTCATACTTTGTTCTCCCACTCTTCAAGATGAGGCACAACATATCTGAAATATCAGCTGAAGAACTGAATAAGTTCCAAGCCTCAAGCATTAGGCGTTTCCTTGACCCTTTAAAATGAACAACCTATATCCAGTAAAGTGAAAATCCAGTCAATTCGTACATTTAAACAACTTCAGCATAAAACATACTCAAATTAATCCCTTTAAATTGTAGGCTCAGCTAGCAACAAAAATTATCATGAAAGACTTAATTACCTTAACATCTAGAGGCATGCCATGAAACTGGCCAGCACCCTCTGGTGGTGTCCAATTATACATAGCACATGGTAAAAATAGCACTGATGCATCATCAATGTCTTCAGTAAAAGCCTGCGCTTTACTAAATCTTTTTGCATCAAAAGAGGGATGGGACTTTACGACCCAGGCAAGAGCTAACTGATCACCAAGCATTCGGGAAGCTTTCATGTATCTGGAACTATAGACTTCTAATACTTTTTGTAAAAAACGTTTTGCCCTGCAAGCAATTCCACATTTTCAGCTTCTTCAGTGAAAATTTTGATGGTATGTTGCCAAAATATTATGAGGAAATAAAAGTTAGTGTTTCTTCTGGAGCTCTCACTACAAATCATACCCTTCATTGGAAGGAGAAATTCCAAATTAAATACCTCCCCTACCACCTTCAGCACAGCTGGCCAATGAAGGTTTAAGTATATAAGTTATGAAAACCAGATTTTTAGAACCCAAAGAAAGACATCCATGAAAGGAGAATAAAAGAAGAGCAGATTCTCAACCTTAAAATACCATCATGTGTACCCCGCACAGCAATAAATCCAGAATTCAGAGGCTGATCTTTGTTGTTCCTGAAGGTAAGAGCCAAATGGAAATTTTGGTACTTGTCAAACATCTGTCCTAGGTCATCAATTACAGCAATATCTGAGTCCGTAAATATGAAATGAGTTATACGCCCTTGATCCTGAGATAGCTTCTCAAGCCTGGCTTCGAGAAAGGTCTACATAGAAAAATGGCAGTTTAACCGATAAATTAGGACACTGTATTTCATAAATAAACAGGGTCAGATGGCTTTGGACTTCTATGTTTGTCACAACTTTAGTTTATGTAAGATAGTGTGTCTTGTAATCTTACTAGCTGCAGTGGCTTTTTTAGTGGTAAATAATATAAAGAGAAAGGCAGGTTTCACAAGCTACAAAATCACATCCAATAAGGGAGGAGAAAGTGTATAATAATGTTTATAATAATAGAAAAAAAAAAAAGATGGCGTGGGGGTGCACAAATCATCTTTATTTGAAAAGAAAGAAAAAAACAGGGAAAAAATTTAAAAATAAAGTGGATAAAAGAAAGTTAAGGAAATTTTTTGGGCTTAAGAAAATGGAAAAAAAAGAAATCCTAAAGGTATGATTAATAGAACATATTATAAAAGAACAGCGAAACTTTTCTACCTATATATAAATGCGATGTGCCCTTACAATGTAAGACCTGATTCTTTGAAGCATCAACTTGTCTCGAGAGTATTCACCCTGAATGGGATGTACAGTAACTCTGTTTCGGTGCACAGAGAGATCTGATTCTGGATCAGTCAGAATGATAACATTGCTTTGAGGCATTCTCACCTGAAAGATTTTAATTCAGAACTCCTCATTAAATAATGCTTCCTTCCAATTGACTATAAGGTTTGATTTACTGAATGTAAGATACAGATTAGAACAAATCCTGTACATTAAAACTATTCCATGATACAAAAGAAGATAAGTTATAACATTGAATAACAACTCATGTATAAGAGAGCATAGTTCTGAAACTTCAAGCAAATTAACAGAGATTTCGAATAGACATTTCCTTAAAGAAGCCAGATGCATAATACTGCATGGTCTTAACTGAAGAGCGTACCTGAATGAAGTTAATGAAGATGTTCAAAATGGCCATTGATCTCTCCGACTTACTATATGAAGCATTCCCAACAGTAACCAAGTTTGATGATCTACTATTCACAAGAGTGTCAGGTGACTTGTTATAAATGGTAAAAACAGTCACAAAGGCAATGCCATCTGCAATGCTAGAGGCATGAGAAGGGTTTGAAAAATAGGTCTTGTTGAGAGCTTTAACTCCTGGAACAAATTGAAACATCAAAAACACAGACTATTACAGCAACCAATTTAAGAGCTGGGAGCTAAGTTTTTGGGCCCTTTTATCAAATTAATGTGGTATCAGCAAGGAATTAGCAAGAACCTTGGCACTGCAAACGGTTGGGTAAGCCTTCTCCAGCAGCAGGTCCAAGAAACAGATGATCAAATTTCTTGCCATTTTTCTTGGGGACATCTCCTAATGCTAAATTCTGATCATCAAATTTCGCGGTATTTTTCTCGAGGGCATCTCCTACTGTCTGGTTCTGGAGCAATTCCAGAACTGAAAACATGCAAAAACAATCATTCTAAAGCTTTCAATAATAAACAAGAAAGACATCACAAAGGTCGATAACTGAATAGATTAGTGCAAAGAGGAACAATCACCAGAGAACAAATGAGGAAGGATGAAAATAAGCGGCAGGAAGAAGAGGAAACGACGCCATCCAGCACATGCTTTCATGCCTAACCAATCTTTCAACGACAGGTACTTTCTTTCAATTTATTACGATCGAAGGGGAAATTTTTTCAATGGCACCATTAAATTAGACTAAAAACGGATGCTGCAACAGAAATATTATGGATTACGAATTTAAAAATATGAGAAGCTACAGCTTTGCATAAATGAGTTATTTCCAAGCTAAATTTACAACCTCATTACCAAAACCATTCGTGAATCCGGCATTAAGACAATTCATAATAAAAGTTATTATGATATTGAAAGAAATCATATGGATTTCAGATCAGGTTCAAGTCAGTTCCAGCAAAAGATTCACAACAAGTAACAATGGTAAAACCCTGAGAACCCAATTCAAAGAAGAATAAGAAGACGTCATGCTACGTATAGAAAGTAAAAAATGAAAATTCTGAAGCAAGAAAAACCCAAAAAGGAGAAGCAGTTGAAGATAAAAACAAGTAGTACAGAGAGGAAGTAGAAGAAGAAATTGAATAGCTTTACAAAACCTGAACTTTACCAGTTGGTTTTAAATTTTGGGTGAGTCGACAGCAAAGATCTCAATTCTCTTTCAGGAGTTCACTGTTCATCCAAAATCTGTTTTCTGTTTTGGGTTCGCCGCTTTTACGTTTCTTTCCGGTATATTCCGTTTTTCTCTGTCATTTTTCTTTTTCCATTTTTTTTATTAGGATTTTTATGCTAATGAGTTGGGACCTCAAACTTAAATGGGTCTACTCATAAAGCTAAGATAACTTTTGCATTTCAGTTTCGGCTGGAGATGATAATGGGCATATGTAATTGCCAAGTATCCTCGAATAATTGACCAGATTATATAAATATTTAGATTTGAATTAAATTGGAATTATCTAATTATATAAAGTCTCTTATATTTAATTTGAGATAAATTCCAATTGAAAATTACAGAAAGGAAAAGTATCTTATATTTAAATTTGAGATAAATTCAAAGTAAAAATTTATACTAGATTACATGAAATAAAAGTATCTTATTTTGAAATTTATATTTAAATTTGAGACGAATTCGGGAAAAAAAAATTTACTATAAGCATTGAGGCATGATTTGTTTGCTACAGGCCGAGAAATTAGCTGCCTAAACACAATATCGTGAGATCGATGTACTTACACAGCTTGAACAGTTCAGGCAAATGGATGCCAAATATATAAATCAAATTAAGTTGCGAGTTACATGATGAAAAATCTCGACCAATAAATTTTACCCAGTTCCTGAATATGTCATCGGTTGGTAAAGGTAGGATCGATTTAGCTCTGTAATAATGTGGGCAAGCTAAAGTGTAAATGAAGAAGATCAAAGAGAAATCATTCAATGATCATCACACAGATTAAAGGGAGTACAAAAAAATGATCATTTCTAATCCAATTTACAGTGAAAATGGTACAGGTCGTCTATCTGGCCATGATTCTATCTTCTCAAAGTACTTGGCAGGTACAACCCCGTCAAAACCTTCAGTCAAGATCACCTTGTTGTCTGAAATGTAAAGCTTCATTCCTTCTGCAGTCATCGATGGAAGAACAAGAGAAGTAAACATAAATTTGCTAAGCGAGAAAAGAATGGTAAATGTTCAGCTATGACTTGAAAGAAGAGTGAGAAAGGTATCATTTGTGGTTATTGCTTCAGTTAGTTTGCGCTGCAAACTGCCCGACACTTGAAAGAAGTAATGATTACCTTCCAGGGCTTTTCTGACATTAAGAAAGATCAAAACGTTAACATCTCGTCTCATACCTGAAGAGAACAAAAGTAGAGATCATCAGAAGCCATCGACAGCACTAAGTTCACCAAGAACTGGATCAGTCTATCACAAAAACTACCAAATAATGCTCAAAATTTGCTAGTAGCTACCATCACTTAGAAATCACATTACAAAATAGGAAACTTAATAATCCTTTAATAAGCTTTAGCATTAATCCTCAGATGAAATGTAGATAATGCATAATAGTCATAATACGACCCGATCAATGTGTCATTAATACCTAGCTGAGATATTCAAAACAACGGGTAAAAAGGAGAGTCACACATGTAGTTGCAAAGACCATATGTCAAAGTCCAGAATAATCCCATCTGATTGGTTCAAGAAAATCACAAAGAAAGGGAAAAAAGATGAAATGTCACTAAAATCATTGCGTGAAGAGATTTCCCATGATATCTCACCACTAATTACTTCACCATCCGTTGGTAAGCCACTTGAGAAATGGACATGCAATCTTTTCATGCGCTTTAAACCAGACTCCAAAATTGATTCCAAATTCCTCTTATAGGTTCCATGTACACATACTGTCACCTCAAGGAAAATAAAGAGAATCAAGCGAAATAAAAGCCATAAAACAAGAATATCAACCTGACACTGAGAGACATAATAATTGACATGGTATTCTTACGTTGCACTTCATCAGCTGAAAGGATTTGTTTTAATAAGCTTTCAGACTCAACTATCTGTCAATAGCACATAAGAGTCTTCTTTTAGAAAGTGCAGACAAACATTAATTTAGATGCTCAAACCAACAGCTAACCAAAAATTAAAGGGAAAATTCTGACAGAGCACAAAGGAATTGGGTTTTTAAAGGATTCATCACCGTTACTGTATGGCCCTGGTTTGCACGTATCAAAAGCTCCCCATTTTCCTCTAGAAGGCTAAATCGTTGCTTATTGTCCTTGCTAACAGCCTAGAATCAAGAAATAAACAACCAAAAAAAAAAAAGAATTATCATTAGTATATCAATTTAAAAAGTTTCTTTTTCTGTTTTTTCTTTTCTGGGGGCAATATAAACATTTTCCTTTTAGTGATACTGTTTTCCACTAATATTTTGGAGACTAAGAATGTAAATTCCTGGTGGCATCTTAGAAGATTTCTTTATGAAACTAAGAGTACCTAAAGAAGCTATTTTCAGTACAAAATTTTCATGCTGCAAGAACAGAAATGGGAAAGTTTCAATCACTCTCCAGCATTAACTTTCACAACATACTGAGACTTGAAAACAGAAAACAGTGAATGCAACAATCAATGGAGACGAGAATTACTTCACAGAACTTACCTCCTTGATGTCATCGACTGTGTGAGACCTTAATGGAATATTGGCAAATGTTTTCAAATTCAGTTTCAGTAAATCTTGAACTTTGACATAACCATCACTCCGCATATTCAAATTTAGTTCAGTAGCCCTATGTCGCAGAATTCGTGTCCTAAAGATATTAAAATCATTTGAGTTGAATACGCACCAGTGATAAGCAAAAGAAATGGTGAAAAAAAAAATGAGAAACTGTTAATCTGAAATGTTGCTTACAGGAGTCTACCAAGTGCATCAATTTTGTCGTCGCCGCCGCTACCACCGCCACGGCCTCTGGATCCTCCTCGATCATATTTCATCTCTTTACCTCTTCCTCTACGTCCGCTGCCAAAGCCCAAAAAGATGAACAACATCGCTACAACACAATTAAATCGATTTTAGCTACGAATTTGCGCCCAAATTTTTAAAATACCTTCGATTGGAATGAGCAAAAGAAGAGAAAGACGACGACGTAGTGGTATTAAGGTTAGTGTTCTCCATGAAAGGAAGGGCACGAAACCTGGGGAGCTGAGAGGGGACAGGTGGAAGACGACCACCACAATAGCGCAAAATTCGAACACCGCCGTTGGTCAGGCTAGCCCACATGCGGGTGGATTGATGCCACGGGAACTTGCTTTAGACGAAGATGATGATTGTGGCGGCAGGTGACGATGATACGGGGAGCTCGCGGGGCAGAATGAGCAATTGTGAAAGTACGGTCTTTACGCTACACGTGGCCCTTCGCAAAATCCTTTGGTAATGTTTGGTTATAAGGATTTCGAAATCAATGCGACAATAATTTGTCATGTTCATATTTAATTCTCATGCATAAATACTCCATTACCATAGTTAGGTGACCAAAAATATAAAACTCTTAGTCGTCAAAACCTATTTAAATTAAATTATTTATGAAATTACATATTGGAATTATAATAAAACAAATTGAAAACAATGTATAATTAAAAAAGGGTTTACATCACATTAATATTCATAGTTTTCACAAAAACTTTTCAAAGGGGTTATTATCGATTGATTCACACCAAAAACCATTAGTGATCAATTTACAACCTCATTAACAAAAACCATTCGCGAATCCGGTCAGTTCATAATAAAAGAATTCCGTTTAAAGCTATGCGATTAAGAAGGGATATTGAGTGAAGCCCGATTTGACAAATTCTAAACCAAAAAGATGCAAGAGAAACAAAACCAAGTAACAACCACTAAAATATAAGATTCAAAACACCAAAACATTTCAAATGGAAAAATAAAATTGAAAATTATTCTGATACACTAATCTCCCCTCCTAAGTATCTCAATTTCAAATCATAAGTGAACAAGTTCTTCAAAAGCATTAATAGTATGTAAGCGCAAAAGGTCCTGCATATCCAGGGGAATGTCAAAGTGAAACGCGCAGGAAGCTCCTCCAAAATGTGCCTTCTCTAAGCCACAAGAGTGCTGGCGGTGGTAGACTCACTGCATAAAGAAAGTATGTATGTTATGATTTGCAAGTTACGAGTTATGACCAATACTGAAATAAGATTAGAGGCAACAAACACCATTGCATTTGCACGTTATCAAGAACATCAAAGGGCAGCAGGGACACAAATACTCACTATTTCCACACAGGTGGCAGCTTCTTTGTCTTCTTGTAATAGCGGGCAAGGCGGTGGATCCTGCTCTCAACCAAGATCAACCTAAACTTTGAATCCTTGTCTTTCCGGTTCCTCTCAAGATGCTTTCTGATGGCAACGGCTTTCTTAATCAGGTGGTACAGATCCTCGGGAATTTCAGGAGCAAGACCTGACAAAAACAAAAGGATGAGTTGAATGTTTATCTTCAAGTCTGAAGAACAATGCAACAAAGGACAATGTCAATGAAGATGTACCATGGGCTTTCAGTATCCGCAAAATCTTGCTGCCTGTAACGCTCTTCACCTGAGCAATCCCATGAGAATCTCGGAGAATGACACCAATTTGAGATGGGGTCAAACCCTTCTTTGCAAACTTGCAAATGTTCTCCTCAACCTAAAAGATGAATTTAAGATTAATGAATATCGCCAAAAAAGAGCACAAACTTTTTATAAAGAGGGTGTAAACTACAGAATTGGGTGTATTTCAACTCCACATTGCTGGTAAGTAAAACAATAAAAAGTAGCCCTTAGAACATCAATGGCAAAACATAAGAAATAGTAAGTGGAAAATTAATTAACCAATATTAATACCGCATCCATTGAGCACTAAAATTTCTGGCTACACTTGTGGCATAGATAAACCAGAATAATATCTTCTAGGAGAAACCGAAGACTGAAACCACTACAAGGTTTATGTCACTAAAAACAAAAGATGGGTAATCCACCAAACTACCAACAAGAAAGAATCAATGGCCATTAGAATTCAACATTCCAGAAATACATATACTGAAACATAACTAATGCACCATCAAACTTAACCATTGAAAAGTTGCTCCCACGGCACAAGATTACTCTCAAGCCATCTTTATGATGCTACTAAGAGACCAGTTTAAAATGTTAGCTTTACAAGACATTGAAGATTAACTTTAGACTTTAAGCGAAGCGTTGCCATTGTATTGTAATCAATGTGGATAACGACTATTCCCTGTACAAAATGAAATTTCCATTGATCAAACATTTAGTTCTTCTCTGCCACTACATTATCTAATCAAATAGGTCTTTAGGATTCAATTTACATAACAGATTAAACGAATAACTTCACTAAAAATAAATAAACATAATTTGGCTCATAAATGTAAAATAGAAAAAAGAAACAAAATTTCCTTCAACATTGAAAACAAAAAAAAGATCCTATCATTGATTTTCTAACTAACGCAAACAAAAATTACAAGCAAAACTAAAATAAGTGACTCACATCTTGTGAAGAGATCTTCAACCAACTAGGTGGAGTTCTCTTGTAGGGCAAAGCAGATGCAGAGATACCCTTACTACACAGAAAGTCAAATCAATCATAAAGCAGTTTGAATAGATTTCACCCAGATAATCATAGAATTGTTTTCAGACGATGATGAATCGAGTGTTAAGAACAAACCCTCGGCTGTGCATACGACCCATGGTGGTAGAGTTTCTGAGCTCGGCTGCTTCTCTAAATCACTCCTGCTTCTGTCTTGCCCCTGAGCGCAAAGAAACCCTAGAATCAAAATGGTGGCTCGGGCTAGGGTTTTTATTATTCAGGTCCTTTGCTAAGATTTATTGGGCCTTTTCCCCCTTTAGAGGTAAAATGGGGCCGGGCCCCATTAAGTTATTGTCTTTGTAGCCCGAAAACGTTTCATTGGAAAAATGGGCCAAGAAATTTTTTTCTCCAAAGAGTTATGGGCTGTAATATAAAGAGAGAAGGCACATATTCCTTTTGGAGGTTAAAATAGGTCAAATTTTAATTAATAAGTAAATTATATTAAGTAAAAGTTAATATTTGAAAATAAATAATTGATAGATAGCTGAAAGTCCATGTTTATAAACTTAATATTCATTTCATCTTTTATTAATATAAAATTTATGATATTTTACCTCATCCAATTATGCAACTCTTTTATTACATTAGCTTTCGACTCATAGAAGAGAGAGACTCTTATATTAATTTGAATCTATATCGTTCTTAATATCTCTTATAAGAGCTCGACATTAATGAAGATTCAAGTGTACTTTGACACTATTTGTTACGAGCTTATATTTTTAATTTAAAATATATATTTGATAAGTCTCATATTTATATGTCTAAGAGCCATCCCATTCCTTATGTTAGTGTGCTTGTATATTATTTTTAATTATAAAATATTATTATTAAACTTAAAAAAATAAAATTATTTTTTAAAAAATTAATATTTTAATTTATTTATTAACAAAATGTAATAAATGATTTACAGATAATATATAGAGTATAATATTAATAATGTATCAAATATAAATTATAATTATTGTATCCAAAGTCCTAATTATGAACCAATAAAAGAAAAAATATATAGTAGTATTGTCTTTGTCAAAGGATTAATGTTGGAGGCGTAGAAAGTCCAACTTAAATAATAGAACCATAATAGGCCTTCTCCATTTCCCAACGAAACAAAGGAACCTTTCCATTAGCATTGGTAAATTCGGTTGGGCCTTAATCCTGTCACGCAGTTGACAGTGTAGTTGCCCAATTGCCCTTGGACAGTGGATGTTTGCTCACATGATCGGAAGAGGGAATATAAATATAAAAAAAATAAAATGGGAAAAATAAAAAGAGGGTCGTCCTGTCTCCCAAAAGGGCTTGGGAAAGTGCAATAATGGAGAGGAAAAATTCCTTTACAGCGTTTTACTTACCTTTTTCTTTTTCTAAGGTACCTTTACAACGTTACCATGACTTCCAGATCCTTCTTGTTTATATTAATGCCATGAAAGAGTTTTGCCAAGTTGGCTTGAATTCAAAATAATTTATTCCCATCTGTTTGAAGTTGCATAATTTGCTTAATTTAAACACGAAATGACTTGATATCGAGAATAATCTAAACTCAAAATAAGTTGAATAAAAGAAAATTAAAATAGAATTATTTGAATTAAAATAACTGGAATTTGAATTATTTTAAAATAATATCAATCTGAAAATTATTCGATAAAAAATTATTGAAATTTTTTTTTAGCAGTTACCCAACCTACCATGGAAATTGGAAATATCTTTTTTCCCAACTCACCATTTGGGATAGAGTTCAGTATAATTATGGAGAGAAAAAGGAGAAAATCTAGATTTGTGTGACCCTAAAAGATAATGATTTAGTAGACAAAAAGATAGTTAACGTGGGGTTGGAAAAGCTACAGACTTGACTTGCGATTCCCTGTTGGTTCATGCCTAAACAGTGAGGATTTGGTGTGCCAAAGGCATCAAAAGAGCAGATTGTTGGACGTGTAATTACAAATAAAGACGAGCCATGTCTTGTCTAACATTGTTTGCTTCAACCTAGGTCGTTGGTGCATTGTTCGAAAATTACAAGTTCTTTAAGGTTCAACTTGTCTCCTTCCCATGTCACGTTACTACTGCTTGTCCGAAGAGAATCAAAGCCACTCAGACCTGAAACAGTGTTCGATTGTGGCAATTTTTCGTTTCCCCTTGTTATCCCCAGCATTTCAAAATTTGGGCAGGAAGTATAAAAGCTGAAAAGCTGGAGTACACAGGAGCAAATGAAATGAGCAGTCCAGCAAGGATTGAGACTGTTGCTGAGTTTCTTCAGACAAAAGGCTGCATAGATTGGTATGCTCCATCATCTGATGCGTAGATTTTAAATGATGGGAATGGCAAATGGAGAAGGAAAGGGAAATGAAAGGCTATGATTTTCGACACAGCTGACCATCCATTTCTCAAATCCAATCATGAATGGCGAATCCCACATCCTTTTTTGAGAAGGTGGAATGATGGCAGCATAAGTACACTAAAATACAAGTAACTAAAGCATAAATGAAGGAAAAACAAGACCTGGAATTTGAATACCACCAAAAAAAGTTTGAATTTCAATTGGTTTTAAATTAAAAAAAAAAAAGAAAAAGAAGAAGCAAGGAATGAAATTTTGGCCTTACTTAACAGTGAGGTGAGCAAGAGGTCATGGTGGTCACCCCCACACCAGAGAGAACTGACACAATGTGGGGAGGGAAAGGCCCCCACAAAATCCGTCCGATTTGATTTTTTGCTCAGACTGGTTTCTAAGTAATGGAGTTTCACAGTTTCACTGGCTCGGAGGAGGGAGACCAGGTCCTCAAGTAGTGTGGGACAACGAAGCATT